CATAACAAAGCTTATTAAGAAAATGTTCTGCATCCTCCTTTGGTGAGTGGTGTCTGGGGTCTTAAAAGCTTGCAAGTGGCCATGATGCATCAGTTGGTCCCAACCACTTGGAGTAAAGGAGAATGAAGAACACCAAAGACACAAGGAAAGTATTGGCCCAAGAGACAGAATGGGCCACATAAACCAGGGACTTCATCACCCTGAGACCAGAAGAACTAGATGGTGCCTGGCTACCACCAATGAACGTTCTGACAGGGAACACAACAGTGGGTCCCTGATGGAGCAGTAGAACGACGAGATGCAGAACTCAAATTCTAGTAAGAAGACCAGACTTAATGGTCTGACTAAGACTGGAGGCACCCCGGAAAGCATGGCCCCTGGTCTCTCCATCACCCCAGAACTAACACAATTTCCGGGGCCAACTCTTCAAACAGGGATTGGACTGGACTGTGGGACGTAAAGTGATACTTGTGAAGAATGTGCCTCTTGTAGACAAGTAGATAAAAGAGACCAAAGGGGCGGCTTCTGTCCAGAGGTGACAGGGGAAGGCAGAGAGAGTTAGGAGCTGGTTGAATGTTCATGGGGAATCAGGGGCAGAGGGGAACAGCGTGCTGTCGCAGAATGGGGTGAGCAGTTGGGGTCTCGTAACAATGTACGTTAAAAAAAAAATTCTGTATGGGACACTAACTTGAAATGTAAACCTCATTTAATTACAACAATAAAAGAAAAATACTGGAAATGCGTAGCATCCTGGACACTTTCTTTAAATACACACTATAGGATTAAAGCAGAACAAGGCTTTAGATATATTCAGGAAGAAATACAACTTCATATAATTTGAGTTAATTTGGTAAGAAAACTACATTTCAAAATACATACAAATGCTTACATTTTAATTTTCCAAAAGTAAATAGTTTAACAATGTTTCAAGGAGAAAATTTATTAATTTTCCAAGCACTTTTATGACTTTTTAAAATGGAAGTTGTGTGCTTCTTTCGCTGATTTTATTTGTATTCTGTGGCATGTATACTTTCTATAGCCAGGTTTTTAATTCACCAGAGTTTCACAATCCAAAAACATTCTAGAAGACCTCCAGGGCAGGAAGGTCTGTGCTTTTATAATCATTTAGAGGCAAACTGAATTGTCCTTTGCTCTTCTGCAGGGATATAGGCTAGAAGTGCCTAGTTGGCATAGGTCTGGGTCTGCACCATATGTCAGTAGCATAAATCCCTTGCACATGGTTAAATGCAATTTTCTAAAAATCTAGAGCTAAACAGACCTTTCATCCTGTATTCTGAAATTCTTGCATGCTTAATAACTTTAACTTTGAAAAATGCAATTTTCTGGGGACCTACCAGAGAATATTATTTAATTCATTGAGTTAATCGTTGCCAAGGAGACTTCTCCCCTCTCCAACCCATTTCACTGAAATATGGTTCCCACTGTTACCTCTCCATTGAAGCCACTCTAAGTTCACCAGGAATTGAGTTTTTGCTTCATCCAATGAGCCCCCTGAGCCCTTGTCTCAGGTGACCTCTCAGCAGGTTTGGTGGGGTGAATGCAGACTCCCTTCTTCATTGTCATTCTTCCTTTGGCTCCTCTAATAAGCCCCTCTGCCCGTTTTCCTTTCACCTCTCTACTCATTCTTCAGTCTCCTTTTCAGGGGCTTCTTTCTCTTCTTCTCATTTGACACACTCTCCTTGGGTAGTTACATCATCTACTTTCACAGTGGATTACTGTTTAGACGTAGATGCTGCCCAAACTTCTATTTCCGCACCATATCCATCCAGTGGCTCAGACCCCTATCTATAACTGCCTAATAGGTATGCACACACCCAAGCCCCAAAGGTACCTCAAACTGTAACACATCAGAAACTGAACCTCTCATCTTACTCAAACCAGCCTCTCTTCCCATGTTTCCAGCCTCAGCGAATCCCACATCATCTCTCCACCAAGGACTATCCTTGACTTCTGCCTCTTCTGCATCCCTCACCAAGTTCTACTTAGCTTCTACTGCCTAAGCATCTCTGTAATCTCTCCACTTCTGTCTACCTTTCTGCCTGGAGTGTTGCAACAATTGCCTGACAGGTCACCCTGCCTCCATCTTGCCCCCTCTAATACATGTAGCAACTAGAGGCATTTTCTAATCCTTATAACCCTTCAGGTGCTTTCTATCGACCCAAAGAAAAAGCCCAAACTCTCCACATGGAACCCAAAGCCCTTCATTCTCAACTTACTTCTCCCATCTCATCTCATATCACCCTCCTCCTTGTCTTCTCCAGTTCCTCAGGGGCATCTTCCTTCAGTTCTGCTCTCTCTTAGCCCCACCATTGACATACACTGTTCCTTCTTTCTAGAATACTCCTCTCCTCTGTCTTACTCATCCTTCAGGATTCAGGTCAGAAATCACTTTCCCTCAGAAGACTCCCTGAGCTGGTTGTGGAAGCTCCTCCTTTGTGTTCTGTGAATTCCCTGAATGTTTCCTGGCATAAAGTATATTACTTGGGACTGAAACTGAGATGTTATTTGTAGTTTTCCCCACTAGCCTACACTCAGTGAGGGACTTCATTGGATCGTTCTTCACTGTACCCTCAGGGCCTGTTCCAATGCCCAGTACTTAGTAGACATTAGTTAAAAACTGTTGAATTTTTGAAGATAAGCACCTTAAAGCATTACAATAAAACTCAGTTATAATACTTACGGGCAAATGGGGAAAGAGTCCCTGTGTTTAAAAAATAATAAGGTCTATCATGCTTCATGTTTTTGAGGTGAAATCTATCAGCAAAGTGGCCCATTGTTGGGCAACCTTCTTTGGGACAATGGAAGCAATTCCCCTGGTGACAGAAAATAAGTAGTTATTTATGCAATTAGAAATTTTTCTCTTCAATAAACTCATGATATATTATTAAGCTATAATAAATCTTTGGAATCTAAGTAAAGTATATGTTTTAAAAATGACCAAGTGGCTAGTTTTCAAAAACAAAGCAAAACAAAAAAGAACTGAGAGAAAAAGATAAGCTACCTATTATAAAAATGGGTAAAGGATATGAATATATAACCCACGGAGGAGGAAGCTCAAATAGTTGCTAGCTATGTAAAAAGATGCTCAGCCTCAATACTTACAGGGGAAATGCTCATTAAAACAAGACACGGGGCACGTGGGGACAAAATGCAGTGTGTTCCTTTTAAGATTTGTGGGAGTGTTTTTTTTCCCTCTAAATTTTATTTATTTTGTTATTGTTGTTGAGACTATGCACAGTAAAACGTACACTAATTCAACGGTTTCTACAGGTACAATTTAGTGGTATTGGTTTCCTTCTTCAAGTTGTGCAACCATTTTCACCCTCATTTTCTGAGTTGTTCCTCCCCCATTAACATAAACTCACAGCCCCCTGAGTTTCCTATCTAATCTTTCAAGTTGTTGTTGCAATTTGATCCCATAAAGATAGTTCTTAAAATAGCATAATGCTCAAGACAGACATTTTTTACTAGTTGAGCTAAACTACTGTTTGGTTTTAATAAAACTTCAGGGGATATTTTTGGTATAAGGTTTAAAGATTATCTCAGGTAAATAGTTTCAGGGGTTCATCCACCCTATGATAGTGTTTTTGACATTTCTGTACTTGTTTTCATAATGTCTAAAGAAGCTGTTTGTAATGATTTTGCATAGTTATTCAATCCTCTTTTAAGAGTAATTAAGGGTTTAAGGTTCCCAGCAGATGTCTCATATAGAAATGAAGTTAGCTAAAAGAATGCGTATGCTAGTTGTTCTTTCCTATTCTTCATACTCAGCAAAACTGAAAAAAACTAAAACAACTGACAACACCAAGTACTGGTGAAGACAGAGAGTAGAGGAATTCTCATTTACTGCGGATAGGAGTATGAACTGATAGCTGTTGTGGGTAGCAATTTGGTAATATCTAATATAGACAGAGAAGCCCTGATGGCACAGTGGTTAAGAGCTTGGCTGCTAACCAAAAGGTCAGCAGTTCAAATCCACCAGCCACTCCCTGGAAACCCTATGGGGCAGTTCTACTCTGTCCTATAGGGTTGCTATGAAGTCGGAATCGACTCGACGACAATGGTTTTTCTTTTTTTTTTTTTTAATAAAGACAGAAGTGCATATATGCTTTGACAATTTCACTTTTACTATGTACCATAAAGAAACTTCCACCCAAGTACATAAGGGAGCATGTAAGAGGGTGTTTATTGCAGCATTTCTCTTAATAATAAAAACTGGAAATGACCAAAATGCACATTAGTAGGGGAATGAATAAATAAGTTGTGGTCCGTTCCTACAAAATAAATGCACTAGATCTACGCACATCAATGCAGATCTCAAAATTATAATATTTAAATGAAAAAAGCAAATTCAGAAAGATACTTACAATATGATACCATTCATTTGATAGATGTCAAATTCACTTCAAATTCTGCCTTAAAGGAGGGAGTGAAAAATATAAGGGACTTTGAGTCTTTAACTATGTTTTTTAATCTAAAGCAAAACTAACAATCTGTGTAGCAGGTGATTGAGTATTTGCTAATTTAGGTTTTTGACTTTTAAATTTATAAAACATGAACACTTAGGCCAGGACTACAGTAACACATCATTTAAACTCCATTTTTAATTAAGGGAAATAATAATAATAAGGGCCCATATTTCTTGAGTGCTAACCATTTGCCACAGGAGAAAGATGTGGCAATCTGCTTCCGTAAAGATTTACAGCCTTGGAAACCCTATGGGGTAGTTCTACTCTGTCCTATAGGGTCACTCTGAGTCAGAATTGACTTGATGACAGTGGGTTTGTTGTTTTTTTTCTTTTTTGGTAACCACGTGCCAGTCGCTGTTCTAAATGCTTTCTGTGCGTTTAACTTATTTAATCTTCACAAAATCCCAGTGAGGTAGGGACTCTTATTCTCCCTATTTTACGAAGGAGGAAGCAGAAGCACAGAGAAGCTGTGCAATTTGTCTAATGCTGCTTGTCTAGCAAGTAATGGGGCAAGGATATGGGCAAGGACATTCTGACACAAGAATCCCTGCTTTCTTTTTTTAAGACTATCTGGGTAAAAGTACAATAAAACATGCCAAGGAAATTGATTTAATGTTCTCCAGTTTTTAACCCAAATTAGCATTCACATGGCAGGGAATCAGCTCCTAAGGGTGCTTCAGTCTGGCTGTGTGATCCCCACTATCTCTGAACATAGGATGACTACGACAGCGCTTTTGGCTCAGGAAATGACATGACCCCTTAGCTTCTCGTGGCTGGAGGAAGGCGAAGGTGAGGGCAAAGAGGATTTATCTGGGAAGTGCCAGTGTATGGAATGTTCCAAAGTGCCGTCAAGCTTCCTGAGAACAGCAGTTCACCAGGGTTCGTTATGAGCAAGGACAAACTTGGGAAACTGAGAAGACAGGGACAACCTGAGCACATCCACCCGCCATTGTCTGCAACTAGAGGCAAAGGCACAATCCTGTCCCAACGCGCGCTTATTCACAAGTGCTGTAACTTCCAATAAACTTCAGCTGGAAACCCCATGCTTTCTACCCTGATGAAACAGCGGACTAAGTCTCCAAAGAACAAGAACAAAAATCTTTTCCACTTCCCACTACAAAATAGATTTTCTTTCTCCTTTTCATAGTTACACCCAATGAAAAATACATTTAGCTCAGATCTGGCATGTGCTTTATGACTCAAGCAAAATCAGATTTGATACTCTGTCACGTATTGATCTGTGTAGCACTCTTATGCCTTAGTTCTGCTATGTATAAATAATTAAATTTTAATAAAATAATTTCCATGTTCCAAGTACATAGTAATATCTTTGGTTGTAGTTATTGATCGGTGCAGCCTTCTTAGGGCGTATTTGAAGATGACATCTAAAATATACGCACAGAAAAATTTTTGCCCTGGACTTATGCCTGTTACACAGTAGCATCTAATTACTGCATAACAAATGGCCAAAAAAGGAAAATTGGATATAATCTTCAAAACAGCTGAAAAAACCAGAAAACAGATGGTTTAGTTATTTCAGCCCTTCAACAATCTAAGCTACTGTTCAGTACTCAGCAGAGAAACAATCCATTATATCTCAAAACGGTAGATACATTTTTTCGCCACATACTCAAAGGCCTAATTTCTAGTTGGCAGATCATGTTTCAAAAAATTAGTTGACAATTAAATTCTACTGCAAAATGTTTTACTTACTGCTTTAAAACATTCGTAGGATCGACATGGATAAGCAATAAATGCATCTGGATTGAGAATGCTTTCAGCATAAAAGCGATGACTCCGGGCATGGTTACATTCAAAGAAGGAAGCTACTTCTGTGAAAACAGTTACCAGTTAACTGATAGCAACAGACTGATAACAGACAACATGAACCATTTCTTAGAGTAACTTCAAACGCAGTTTCTGGACTTGGAGGGGCTAGACAGCCAGACCTAGTGTATAGGCTTGGATATTGCACAGCATTCATCAATATTTTCATACTATTATCTTTGTATCAAAGAATTCTTTGTGTGAATCTACAGGGACATTTAAGCTGAGTAAAGAAGCAAAAGGAAGTGTAGATGACTTTGTCCTCTGACACTACTATCCCCAAGCACTTCTTGGATCTCTGCCAAAAGCATTTAGAGCTTTCAGAATCCCTGGGCACACAGCATCTCCACTCTAGATCAATTAATTCTCTGTCTCCCCTTTCCTGCAGCAAGGACTGAATCCCCTCTTATTCAATCACACAATAGCCAGCAACATTAACCAGTACATCCCTTTAGCTGAGCTTAGAGACGAGGGAGGTGGGGGGTATTACAAAGAATGCTAATAGCATATGAGTTTTGTCATTGTCAGGCATGATATCATTGCCACCAGTAGTTTGGATATTGCAATAATTAATAATATAGATCTAAATACATTTGTGCCATCTGAAGTTATCATAGCATTCTAGTCATTTCTGCTTTCCTGACCTTGCATAAGCAACATTCTTACTGTATGGCATGAACCATCCTTCCAGTGACCTGTACAGTTTAGTTGATCTTTAAGAAACTCTAGTCTCTTAAAGATCAGCCAAACTGTATAGGTCACTGGAAGGATGATCCATGAGGTAGATCATTATATCAGCATCATGGGCCTTTACCCTTTCACAATGTCATGCTACCCTTCCTCCCATCAAGAGATTGCACCTATCTTTACACTCCTCTGGAATATGACTCGTCTTATGATTGCTTTGTCCAGTAGAGTGTGGAGGAAGTGACCTGGTTAAATTACAGAGCCTACCTTTAGGAGGCTTAGCCTTAGCTGGCTTCCACTCTGGCTCTCTTGGAAGCCAGCCACCATATAACGATATCCAGGCTATCTGGCTGGGGAGCAAGGCCCTAAAGGATAACAGACTATGTGGAGAGAGAGGCCACTTAGAGAAGAATTTGTACCAAGGTCCCAGACATGTGACAAGGCTATCTTGGACCTCCCCAGTGCAGAGGTGTGTCTAAGGTATGGCAGGTATGGCACATGCCCTGGGTGCCACTAGAAGGGGGAGGGAGAGCCACTGAGCAGTCTATTAACCCAGTACAGCCCAACGTCCTTCCTCAAGCACTATAGACACAGAGGCCTGCAACGGGAGGAGGCAGAGGGTGCCACTGGCCCCCGGGTGCAAGTCCAAGGGGGCGTCAGACGAGGTATGGAATGGCATTCCAAGGTACCACAAATATGAAAGATGCCTAACTGAGGCAGCCGGACAAGAGGGGGGAAGGTGTGCACTGCTGCTATCAATGTCTATTCATCTTGAAATTGGGGGGGGGGGGCGCAACTTAGAGATTGCCCCGGGCGCTTGTTACCCTCACTAGGGGCGCAATTTCAGTGCTTGCCATAGGCACTATTTTCTGTAGATATGCCTCTGCTCCCCACTCAGCCCAGCCCCCAGCAGGATGCAATCACATGAGTCATCCCAGCTGACATCATCCAGAGCGGTCTCTGCTGAACTCTGCCCAAATTCTGACCCGTAGAACCATGAGCAATAAAATGATTGTTCTTTTAAGCTACCTTGGTTTGTTATGCAATAGATAACTGAGACAGAATAATTTCAGAAACGCAATATAGTCAGCAGAGATCAATACTAGGCATTATCTTTTTTTTTCCTAAAGAAATACTTCTATTATATCAGGTCATTATATATACATATTTATATTCATGATTAATTGTGATTTGGACAAAATAGTTCATTAGGATATAGTCAACTATGAATTTTAAAAGTAAATGGTTTCTTAGTGATAAATATAACGTAAAATAGAATATCATGAAGCCTTAAAACTCATCTAAAGACTTAACATGCATGATAAATAAACATACTTTTAATCTAATAAAGTTGTAGAAAATTTTATAATGTTTCAAAATGATAGCTTACGATAAATGTATGTTTTACTTGAATTAACCCTTTACAGAATCTCAAATGCTCTGTGTATAATACTTGATGTAGTTATAGTTATATAAAGAAGTCTTATGATCTATATCTTATCCTAATAGAAAGGATTTTAAATCACAATATAGAAAAATACAAGAAGAATCAGTTTTACAATAGGCCTATTTTTGCTTGAATTTTGCTTATTTGTACTAGGTGGAACTGGCTTTAATTCTTGTTTTGAGTATCTGTAGATTAATTAGTTCTTAAAAAAAAGAAAAGCAGTCATTGCAAATCACATTTACTCTTTGCACAAATATTAAACTTTGTAATTTATCTCCGGTGGAGAGGAAATCCAAGCTACTCTCAATGTCATGGTTTTTTACTCTAAAACAGTCAAATGAAACATCCAATAATTTCATCATCTAGATATGCCGGCCACATGGGATCAGCTGGTGAGACAGCCATCATTCAGTTGGCAAGACACAGAACTGTTTGAATTTTTTATTCTACTATCCAGATGTTTAAACATCACAAGCTGAACCATATATTTCTTCTGTGCCCAATGACTCCCAAAGTTAGGTAAGCCTACTTGTGGTTGCGGGTAACTTCCACTTGCCAAACTGGAAAACTCTTGCTTGACTGGAAATCTCCAAATAAAAGGCACAAATCTATAAGGCACTCAATTATGGGTTATCAGTTATTTTTATGAGGCACAAAAATGTTTTATATCATATCATCTTATTATCATTATCATATCATCATACATATTATGCTATTATGCATTATATATTATGTTTGATATATTATGCATCATTATTTTACATCATGATGATATGTGGGGATACAGAGGAATGGAATTCCCAAATAATAATATTTTGGTGCCTTATAACTCAGTGCCCTATAGATATTACTATTATTGGCAACCACTATCAAAGGGAGCCCTGGTGGTGCAGTTGTTAAGAGCTCAGCTACCAATCAAAAGGTTGGCAGTTCAAATCCACCAGTCACTCTGTGGAAACCCTATGGAGCAGTTCTACTCTGTCCTATAGGGTCGCTATGAGTCAGGATCGACTGGATGGCACCTAACAACAACAACGCTATGAAAGATTAGAGGCGATTTATTTAATTTGTGAGTACAGCCTCCAAGAGTGATTCTGTTAAAAAATAAGTTAAACCATGTCTCCCTTCTGCTCAAAACCACCCCATAGCTCCCATCTCACTTCAGGAAAACTGAAGTCCTTGCTACAATCCATCAAATCTTGTGTTATCTCCCTCTGCCTTGTTCCCTCTCTGGCCTCATCCCCTACTCTTCTCCTCTCTTTCACTTTACTTCAGCCACAAGAGCCACCTCACTGCCTGAAACCTGCCATTTAGGCTCTTGTCCCAGGTCCTTTGCACTTGCTGCCCCTGTCAACATGGAATGCCTTTCCCCCAGGTATTTACATGACTAACTCCTTCAGGTCTTCATTCAAGAGTCATCTTTTCAGTAAAGACTTCCTGGTCTCCCTACGTAAAATCTCCCCCCACCTCCACCCTCACTGCCCCCAAAACATCACATTTCCTTCTATGCATTATATTGTCTCCTTAGCACTTATACTCTTTGTTTATTGTTTTTCTTCCAGATTAGAATTAGGGCAGAGATTTTTGTCTTTTGTATTCATTCCTACGTCTGCTGTTCCTACAATAATGCCTGGCACATAGTAAACACTCAGTACACATGTGGTGAATACATGAATACATGCTCTGTGTTTATACTGAGTGACTACAATATGCTAGACATTGTGCCAGGCACCGAGGATACAAAGGTAACTAAGACATGGTCCCTGGCTTTGCAGATCTCACAACTAGTGGGGAGCTTCATACATGCAACTGTGTTTGGGGCTAAAATATAAATATATGCAAACGGTGTGGAATCCCACCCAAGGATGGAGCTAAGTGGATGATATATGAGCAGCCTTCATATTTTAGAAAGCATTTACCTTTCTTATAAGTATTGAAATCAAATGTAAATAAAGGTGTAATTAAGTCATCTCATCCGGGCATGTACTTTCCTCCATTTGGGTAAAAGTCAAGGTGACCACAGGCATTAATAGTCTCCACACCTAAAGTAGATGAAAGCAGGGTAAATGCTTCTTAAAATCTCTGTGTTTCAATGCAGTTTCTGTTTCTGTTAAAAACTTATCAAACTCAAAGAGGAAGCGAGCTGCATTCGTGTGAATAATATCGACAAATTTGGCATCGGAGGGGTCCAGCCTGACTTCATTTGGGGTGTCGTGGAAATACGGCCCAGCTGGGTCCAACCCTGGGAGAAAGCATCATGTCTATTACACTGAGAGAGAAAAGGGGGCCTCGGACGGAACCCTGAAGAATGCCACATTAAGGGAAGACAGAAGAAAAGGAACCTACAAAGTATCCTGGAGAAAAGCAGCCAAAGAAAAACAAAGAAAACCTAGATGTGGAACCACAGAAGCCAAGAAACAAGAGTATTTCAACAAGGTGGGAGGAGTCAACCGGGTCAAATTCTACAGAGGGTCAAGTAGGATAAAGATTGGGAAAGCCTATTGTATTAGAGTCACAGTAAAAAGCCACCTGTGACCTCAGCACCAGTGGTTTCGGTAGAAGGGTGGGGAAAGAAGCTAGCCTGCGGTGGGTTGAGGAGAGAAGGAACCCTGGGGAAATGGAGCCACTAGACTTTCTAGAGGTTTGGATCTGAAGGGGGAACTGGCTGGGGCACCAGTTAGAAGGGAATGTGGGGTCAGGGAGGAATGGGCGTGTTTCAATGCTAACAGAGTCAGTAAAAAAAGAGGTTGGAGATATTGGAGAAAAAGCTGACAAATGACAGAGTAAGGCCCCCAAAGAGGGGTTGGGATTCAGAGCACAGAATGAGACAGAAGGGTCAATGAAGTAAAGCAAGATGCATCTGAACAAATAGTCATCCTTAAAGGAAAGATGAAAAAACACTGATCTCCCAATTTTATCTCTGACTGAATTGTTCATCTTCAACTCTAGGAAGAATTTTTTTTTGTTTTGATACTGTACAAGCACTGATTAGATACAACCTTCTGATGAAGTCAAGTGCCCTGGAGAGAAACATTCAAATATAGCAGGTATATCTCAGACTATGAACCCCGGTGGAGCAGTCGCTCGGAGCTTGGCTGCTAACCAAAAGGTCAGCAGTTTGAATCCACCAGCTGCTCCTTGGAAATCCTATGGGGCAGTTCTACTCTGTCCTATAGGGTCACTATGAGTCGGAATCAACTCAACGGCAATGGGTTTTTTTTTTTTTTTCCCCCCAAGAGTGAACATTTGGCTTTGTGGCTGTAGGATATCTCAGGAGGAAGGTCCACAGAAAGGAAGAGAACTAATAGGTTCAACTACTTGAGTGAGAACTTACCCCTTTGGGCTATGATGTTATTAACGTGTGTGTATTTGTGTGGATGTGTGTGTCAGCACAGGGGAAGTAATCATTTCTCAAATAGGGAAAACACTGATGTTGTTTATAGATAAAAAGAAAATAAAAACTTGAATCATCTGAGTAACTCCCTAATTACAGTCATTTATGATGACTGTCTACCATTTATAGTTAATCATCATAGACACAGAACACATGAATGTCCTTAATGTGTGTCAGATTAATTTTGTTTTAATTGGTTTTTATGATAAAGCTAAATTCTGTTTTTGAGGTCTCAGTTCTTTTGTTACTCAAGGAACATGACTGCTCAAAAAACTAACTACTTAGAAGGAATACAGATTGCAACATCCAAATCATATAAATTCTCTGGACATTCACAGAGCCTTTTAAAAGCTGCTGTTTTCTATTTACCCAACAGGATAATTTACTGGACTGGAAAAATTGGAGTTACATAGTGTCTGATTTTTGGAATAAGAATTAATGAAAACAAAATCTCCATGAATTTATTGTAACTGAGTACGTGTTTTCAATACTTGTACAGTGATGTTCTTCCCTTTCATTTAGGCTGGAATGCCTCACAGGCAGCATGGGCCCCCCAAGAGGTTCCACCTTCAAAAGTTGTGACTGTTTCTTCTTTCCCCTGGGCTCGAAAACTGAGAGCCAACTGGGGATTTTTGCTACCCATTGACTTCAGGGCAAAAATACAATTTTATTCTCCTAAATAAGAATGATATGGGATTGGGAGCAGAGAGCTGGGAGAAAGAGGATATTTTCAGCGGGAAAAACCTGTTATACCAAGAGATGGCAGAGGTAAAATACATTAATCCAATTTGGAATTCATATATATTTTTAGAAAAATATATTCTAAGTTGAAAATCTGAATGTAAAGCAACACACACACACATCTGCAGATAATCGATTTTACAAAAGGAAAGTGTGCACCTGTGCCATGGTAAAGTAGAGGGCCAGTGAAAAAGAGGAAGACCCTTCCTCAACGAGACGGATTGACACAGTGGCTGCAACAGTGGGCTCAAACATAGCAATGACTGTGAGGAAGGCACAGGACCGGGCAGTGTTTTGTTCTGTTGTGCATGGGGTCGCTATGAGTCAGAACCGACTCAATGGCAGCTAACAACAACAACTAATGTGCCAGACCCAGAGTCGGTGTGGGGTAAGGAGGCTCTTGAGTACTTCATGGTCTATCGAAAATAACAGGCACATAAATAATTATGAGACCATATGATATGACATTTGTCTTTTCAAATCTAATAGAGGCAGAATTCAAAGACTAAGGGAAGCACAGAGAACTAACTCTGCATGGGAAAGAAACATTTGCCATGAATCTTGAGGGATGAACAGGAGATGTTTAGGGAGAGGGGCAGCAGCATGTGCAAAGGCCCAAAACATGAAAAAATATGATGAAACGTGAAAAAATTATATAGCAAGCTAAGAAGTCATGAGAAGTCTTAAGCCGTGTAGTGGTATGGCCTGTGTTTGGAAGGATGACCCTGGCAGCACTATGAAAGATGGCTTGGAGAGAGGTGGATTGGGCTGGAATACCAGCTAGCCGCCAGGTCAAAGTCCAGCAAGAGCTCAGCTAGTGGCCAGGGGATGGAGAGGCACAAAGCAGATGCAAGAGACATGGGGCTTGCTGACTGACTGGGGTAAGGGGTGCTGATGAAGGAGAGGCCAGCCCAGCTTGCCAGTAATGGAGCTAATATTTTGATCTCCACCCATCTGACTCAACTGGCTTGGAAATCAGAGTGCAGGGAAGGGATATGCTTAATTATCATCCACAGAAATCTCAACTCATATATGCTTTACTCTATAACTTATTTCTAGACTTAATAGTATATCCAGGAGTAATATTCAAAATTTTTAACCACTGGAAGGGCATGGGCACTGGCCTTAAACATCGAATTCAGCAGCACTAGTACACCCTAGGGGAGCCCCAGCCCAGGGTGTCATGGACGTCCTTATGGGACAATCAGGGGGGCTCTAACCTGTTCTTTATAGTAGAGGTATGCTACTTCCAAAGCAAAGGAGCCCTGGTGGCACTATGGTTAAACGCTCAGCTGCTAACCAAAAGGTCAGTGGTTTGAACCCGCCAGCCAGCCGCTCTATGAGAGAAAGGTGTGGCAGTCTGCTTCTGTAAAGATTACAGCCTTGGAAACCCTATGGGGCAATTCTACTCTGTCCTGTAGTATCGCTATGAGTCACAATTGAGTCGACAGCAGTTGGTTTGGTTCTGGGTTTATTCCAAAGCATGGAATGTGTCATAATTCATTCAGCCATTCCCCTACAGGTGGACGGTCACACTGTTTCCATTATTTTGCTACCACAGACCATGCGGCAGTGGGCACCCTTGAACATGTACCTGCACAGTCACACTTTGAAAACACTTTTATGCTTTATTTTAGATGACTCTTACACTTGATTCTGCTACTTTATTTGGTGACAGCTGTTCAGATATTTGGTATCATGTGTAAATAAAATATGTAAACCAATGCAAAGCCCAACTTCGGGGCATGCTTACCAGTTATTCTTCCGAGGCCTAGTATCCTTGATCCAGCTTCCCCTGTCAGGTGCGCTCCCAAGCTATGGCCAATCAAATGCACTTTAGAAGGGGAATATCCAAATTTTGTCTGACATAAGTTTTTAAAGGAAAACAGAACAAGCATTCTTAGAAGAGCAGGTAGAATGACTTAAATATGCTTTAAAAAAAAAAAAAAAGAACTGGCATGGTTCCCTCTTTCACACACAGGGTAGGGACTGGTAAAGTGACAAAGTGACACCTCCTGCCACCTACATCCTCCTCCAGCTGCAGGAGGGAGCATAAGGTGGGCCTGGAGGGATGACTCTCTTGGAATGCTTCTCGTTGGCAGGAGCCTCACAGTCCTCAGGAAAAACAGAACTCCCAGCTACCGTGCCTATGGCTTCAAGCCCTGTGGCCATCCTCCCTGAGGACTATCCCTTCCATCATGTGCCCCAAATGGGCCAGAAGGAAGCACACACCTATGCTCTTAGCGCTTCAGGCCAAGGCACCTCTAGGAACTGTCTGGGATGACTTTGGTCTTAAAAGAAGAGTTTTGAAGAATATTCACAAGGAGACTATATGCCTAAGAGAAGAACAAACAAACAAAAAAACCAACCAACTTAATGGGAAACAAAGGAGCAAAATTTTTTGAGTTTTTTTTTTTTTTATTGTACTTCAGGTGAAGGCTTACAGAACAAATAGTTTCACATGAAACAGAAGTACACATGTTATTTTATGACATTGGTTAA